CAGAAGGGTGCGTAGGCCGGCACGCTGGGAGTCGGACAGATCACTCGTGCCCGAACATAGTGCGTCCATCCAACTATCGTCCCCCTCAGAATGCGGTTGAGCCAGAGGATTGGTCCCCACATTACCCATAACCGTGTCTACCACGGGGACCGGCGTCGCGTGCGCGAGCACAGTTTCCTGAGGAACGATGGCCGTCTGTACGCCAACGTTAAGGACGAGGATAAACGGGTCATCGCTCCCCTTAACGAGCGTTTGAGCGGCCACCAGATCCAGCCCGTTTTCCCCAGCCCTCGAGGGCCCTAACAGAATTCCCTGGTCCAGAACACCGGGCACGAAAGGCCGACGCAAGCGAAGGGGCACGAGCATTTGCACCCCGGGAGGTACACGCACCGTCCGAGTGACGAACGCTTGTATCGATGCGCACGCTGCCCTTGAGGTGACAGGGGAAGGCAGGAATGTTACCCGTCGGCCCGAGGGAAGCTCGATGCAACCCTGATCAATTAGAATTTTAATCGGCATTTTGCCCAAAAAGTCCGTCCCCAACAAGCACGGAACCGCCAGCGAGGACGAGACTAATATCGGCCCGGAGAGTTTGATATTGCCAATGCAAATTTGTGCTCGAATTTGGCCTATGATACCCAGCGAACCCCCGTTCGCTGCGTAACACGGAACAGTGACTGGGAGCAAGGGGCGGCTTTGAACGGGAAGAATATTATAAATCAAGTCTGACACAATGGTCGCCGAAGCTCCCGTATCGACGAGGATACGCACCTCGACCCCGTCAATGCGACCCGCGACCACGGACGAGCCTGCCGACGCAGCAACAATTCGGTGGGCCAATTCCATCCACTGCCCCGGCCCGAGCACCCTCTCGACCCCGCCGCCACCCAACAAACCAATGGGCATACCCCGAGGCCCGTACACCGAAACGCGCGAGGTGGGGACAGGTGTGTGCACAGGCCGAGCAGGTGGGGTGCCGCGACTTGCCGGGTTGCGATGCGGAGGCCTGTAGGCTGGAGCGCCGTCCGACCGTCCCGGCTGTTGTTGACGAGGCGCCCGGCATTCCGCAGCCACGTGGCCCTTGCAGCCACAGTTGTAGCACGTGATGAGCGCCTTGGGGTGCTCCTGGCGATCCTGTGTGGTCCGAGCCGGCCTCCCTCCAGATCTCCACTCCACCGGGCGACCCGCCGCGAAGACCTCCTCGGAGGGGGGGATGGTCGGCGTCCCAGCGCACACCGCAGCTGCGCCCTTGGGGACGAGAGGTGATCGACGCTGCGCTATCAGGTGCGCGTGGATGTGTCTTGCTGCCCGCAAGGAGCACATGTCCGCGTCGTCCTCTGCGACGATGACGATCTGTAGCTCCTTGGCCAACGCCAGGAGCTTCTCCGTCACCATCGCGTCCACCCCTTCGCCGTCCATCCGCGGGAAAGCCGCTTTTGCGAGGGCCAGGAGAGCCGTGCGATATGCCAGCGGTGGCTCCTTCTGGCCCCTGCACCGCTCGTGGAAGAGTTTGCGGCAGTCCGACGATGGCCCGTAGACTATGGTGAGGACCTGGAGCGCCGACTGTAGCGTAGATCGCGTTGATCTGGGAGCTGTGATGAGCGTAGCAAGGGCGTCATAGTCCAGCATGGCCGGTAGCGCACTCAAAGCCTCGTTGTCCGTCCAGCCGGCCATCTCTTGATGAGCGAGAAAGCGGCGTTGAAAGGTCCCCCAGTCGCCGCCGTCTGAAACGAACTCCTTCAACACCGGCAGGCGTTGTTGAAACGATGGCTTCGTCTCTGAGAGGTGCCACGCGCCATCTCCGGCCTTTCCGCCGGTGATAGAGGGGCTGGGGACACCTATCGGCGGTCGCGCAGGTGATGACGATGCGCCCGCCGATTGGTCCTGACAGCGGGCGTCCGTTGGTGATGACGTCACCACTGCTGATTGGCCCACAGCGTCCACGTGGAGCTGGGACCCTCCAATCGCCGTGGTGGACACTGTCATGGCGGCAAATCCGAAATCTGGTGGCTGTGTTTCGGCGGGAATGGCCGTTGAACAGCGTTCGTCTCTCTGCCGCCTTTGCGCCCGCAGCCCCGCGCGGTTGATTTCCTCCAGCGTGGAAGCCGCGGCATACAGCAGCTCAGCCAGTCGAGAGTGAGCCGCCTGCAACCCGTCCTCCATCGGCGGCCACTCCTCCAGCGGCGGCTGCTGTTGGGGCGTCTGGGGCATCCCAGGATCGTCGGCCGCGGCCTCTGGCGCAATCCCAGGCGAGCCGTCCTCCTCCTGGGGTTCCTGTGATCGGTTTGTACTCCTTGTGTCCATTTTAAGACCACTTCTGACACCAGTTGTAGTGGGTTCCAGGACACGGAGACGGCAGAATAGAAGCAGCACTATTTATTTAAACCTTAACAAGGGTTACACTAGAAGGGGTAGCGGCCCCTCCACCCGTATAACTCAGGAACACACCCCAGGCTCTCTAGCCTAAGCTCTAGGCTCCCAGTTCCTCCTGGTAGGGCTCTAAGGGAGGCTATCAGATCCGGCCCTGGTTAGGCACAGATCTCGGCACCCCGCCGACCAGACCGGCCCTTAGAAGGACTCTGACTCTGGGGCTCTGGGGCCGCACCACTGGCTTGCTGTGCCGGCCGTGAAAAGGGCAGCGGTCACAGGAGTTCCAGGGTCTCACCTAGCTGGCCTTCTTTCTTCACTGGTTGCTTCAGCCTCGGGCCCCACACTCTGCCCCGAGCTCCCTGGCTCCCCGCACTTTATACCCACTGGAGCCTTAGCGGACGTTGTTGTAGCCACCAAGGTGTGGGTGAACCACACCTTCCCGTGCCATGTGTTTATTCCCCATAGCACCCCTACACTTGTATATATGAATGGCCTCATGAACGAATCTCTCATGGTAGCCGGTTGCATTTTACGATGACTTTCAGACCGCAGCTCTTTCGCTGGCATTGACTCTTAATAGCTCTCACACCACGGTTAATGGTATGGTTTACAACATGGAGTATAACAGCGCCTCGCAGCTGTCTCTCTCCCCCTCCTCTGTACCGACCATGGATGAACTCGTCCGTCTGAACGGAACCCGTAGCTATCCGTGTTGCTAAAGTTGAGGGTAAGAATCCACCCATTTTTTCGCCATATAGCATTGCGATATATAACGACTTATTGTTTGTAGCTTAGCTGATTGGAGAATATAGAGTTTATTGATAACATTGAGGTAATTTATATTTTAATTTTTTATTGGTTCACTATATACCCAGTTACTGTGAATAGCTCAGATGTGTAGGCCTTGACTTCAACATAGCCATTTCTGTGACCAGTCACAAGCTAATCACTCAGTTATTTCAGTGCTAAATTCGCCTAGTTATTTCAATGCTAAATTCTCCTGTTTGATTTGTACTAGGTGCCTCGGTGAATGTATATGCTCTGACTTTAACATAGCTATTTCTGTGACCAGTTACAAGCTAATCACTCAGCTATTTCAATGCTAAATTCAATGCTAATTCCTTTGTCAAGGGGTGCCTTTGCGGATGTGTATGCTTTAACTTTAACATAGCCATTTCTGTGACCAGTCACAAGCTAATCACTCAGCCATTTCAATGCTAAATTATATGCTAATTCCTTTGTCAAGGCGCTTTGTTTCTTCTCACACAGCTTAAAGGTCGTGATCTGAGCGTGGCTTTTTCACTCCAGCGCTATCCTCAAGAGAGTCTCGTCCCTTCACCTGATGAATGCCGCTTGTGTTCTGGCCGAAACGTCGTGAGAATATTATTGTGTTATTTTATTTTATCAATGTATTTATTTATTCTCATTCTACGTGACTTCACCGAAAGAACCAAAGAAAACGTAACAGTTGCTGATGATACCACCCTACTATCATAAAGCAAACCTAAAATTATGACCCTTGGTAAATGTTAAAGACAAAGATGATGGCGATGGAACAACTAAACTCATTTTAGTCTGGAAAATGCATCAAAAGTTGCGAAGAACTTTGTCGTCCTGTGCTTAGACTTCTGAAGACGAAGAATGTAGCCACGAGAACAGAAGGTAGCCAGATCTCGGTAGAATAGCCATGTCACAGCTCAATAAGATATGGAGAGTCAGGGTTTGTTTGTGGGGATCATCCTGGAACTCTACGCTCTTCGCTCTTCGTTCGTCAGTTGAAATTTAGCAAGGAATTGTGGGTTAGACAGCGTGTGTGCTGGCTGGCCCATTCGCTAAGGTTAACTCGCACGCACATAGCGACAGTATAGCTATACTTAGCTACTGAACCCGAGTAGCTAGTGTTGTGTTAAATAAACGTGTTGCCTCTCAGTTAGGGTGTGCGCCTCAGTGTTAAATAAACGTGTTGCCTCTCAATCAGGATGTGCGCCTCAGTGTATCATACACTGCATATGGATGAGTCGTGGATGCCGAGATTAAGCGAGCGAAAGAGGATCAGCGCATTTGAGATGTGATTCTGGAGAAGGATGCTACATAAAACACGGACAGCCAAATATCAAACAAGTCCGTCCTGAGAGAGATCGGTCCCGCTCTTCCACTCGAGGCCTTTTTCATGAAGAAGAAATGTACAGACTTTGGACATGTTATGAGGACTTCTGGACTAGATGAATCATTCTTGCTTGAGAACTGGCCTTACACTAACCCAGCTACGAGAGGCAGTGAGAGACAGGTTTGGATGGGAGAGTCTGGTTGTGGATGTCACCAGAGGTCGAACACAACCTGACAGCACAAGATGACAAGGTGAAGGCCCACTGAGCTCAACGAAGTGGCTCATCACGTGGAAATGTATAGCAGCCAAATACTCTAAATGGGTTCATGTTGATTCTAAATTTGTAGGGAAAAATCCGAAGGACCCGGAGAAAAATTCACACGACCACCGGGAGAGAGACACACAAACTCCAAATATACAGCAGGCGTCAGTCAAGATCGAACCCACGACCCCCTGTACGCCAGGCGAGGTAGTTAACATATCCTAGCCACCACCAATCGTGCTGTCCATTTCTCTGCAACAGGTACCGCTGCTATGATGCACGCATCGACATTGCCGGTGCCATCGATGGTGCCATCAACAGTTTCGCCTTCGCGCGGCAAAGCGTCCATCGTCATAGCAGCATGGGCTCTGATCTTGTTTCTGTCACTGATGGTGATTCTCTACCGGTGCTGCCACCGCTGTCACAGCAGGAATTTGTGCTGCTGGAGCAAAATGAGAAGTCATTCCAGCCATGGGGGTGGTGGTTGTCATAGTGGTGGTAGTGTTGATGGTGGTGGTAGAAGGAAAGGAAACTCGGGAGAGACGCAGCACCCTGCTGGAGAGACTCGTCCCTTGGAGGAGATGAAGATGAGTGAGGTGCGTAAAATCTATCGATCTCAATCTTTTGAACACTCAATTCTTCTTCACATTCTGTCTATTACTTGATGAAGTTGGTTATTGTTATTACCACCAGCGAAATGTTAAAGTGCTCAAATTGTAACATTGTGAGGTTACTTTCCAATACACCGGTGTGCTGAGGTTGTAAATAACACTGTGTAACAATTTTTTTGTCCCTGGGTAGTGTTATTTTCTAATTGCTTATGCTTCAAAGGTACAGAAAATGGCTATTGATCTCCACAAACTTTGCTTTTGTGACCAGGGCAGTGATATTTTGAAATGTACCTATTTTCAATGAGAATTCCTGATAGATTCAGTGCTGAATAAACTTGCAGTAACTGCTCGAACATTCTAGAACTTTCCAGTAATATGAATAGTATAAATACAGGGGCCTTGAGCCCACCAGTTCAGTTTAGTTCCAGCTGCCTAAGTGGAAATATATATCTGCATTTCTCTGAGATGGCATCAAGAGGCTGCAAGCATCCAGCAGACACATTTTGCTATGTTTGAGGCCAATTTATCAAGACAAGAGCGAAGAAGTACTCTGTGGAAGCATCTGCTAAGATGTGTGAGGCCTACAAGGCATATTTCGGCTTGCCTGTCAGGGTTCAAGACAAACCCTGGACGGTAAGATGGAAATTTTACGTTGTATAACTTGTAAAAAAAATAGTAAAAGTTTTTTTTCTTTTAAAATGTTTTAGAATTTTCAATGTTATTAAAAATATATATTATATATGAAAAATGTTGCGAGAATCTCTTACACATTAGTCATGGGTGAAATAAATTTATTTTTGTAGGATGGTACAGGGGGGAAAAGAGAGCCATGAAGTTCACTATCCCAAGAAATTTGTCGGGAACCCACTGACCACTCAAGCAACTGCTACTTCTGCATGATGGACCCTTCCAAACGTCGGACTGGCAAGAATGCACCTGCTATCACGTATCCGGACCTTCCTTCATCCATCGCCCCGATGCCACACTGCCATGAGCTCCCCAAAGCTACTACTCCGGAGAGAGAGCAGCCATCATTAAAGAGAGCAGCAAGTCAGAGAGCGAGGAAGACGTTGTAGATCCAGATGACAATTTCAGAGGTGAAGCTGAGGACAGAAATCCATACTACCCCAACCAAAAAGACCTCAACGACTTGATCAGAGATCCTGGTCTCACCAAGTCCAATGCCGAGCTTTTGACGTCTAGGCTCAAGCAGTGGAACTTGTTGGATGAAAGTGTGCATGTCGCAGATCATAAGAAGCGTCACCAACCCTTTGTGCAGCTTCTTCACCCGTCAAGATGGGCTCTGCTTCTGCCACAATGTGACCAGTCTGTTCGAGGTAATCGGAATCGCCTGTAACCAGAATGAGTGGCACCGCTTTATTTACAGCTCATCCAGGAGCATCAAAGCTGTACTGCTCCATAATGGTAACAAGTACCCGTCTCTTCCCCTGGCTCCTCAAAGAGGATTACAACAGCATCAAGACCTTGCTGGACGCATTCAAGTATGATAAGTACAGCTGGGAGGTCATCGGAGACTTCAAAATGGTGGCATTCCTGATGGGTCTCCAAGGCGGTTTTACCAAGTTTTCCTATCTTAGCCTTTGGGACAGCAGGGACACCAAGGCGCACTACCACAGGCAGGACTGGCCACAGTGGACCGATTTTTCTGTTGGAACAACGTCAAGTGGAAGTCACTGGTGGAACCCCGGATGGTGCTGATGCCACAAATGCACACCAAATTGTGCCTTATGAAGCAATTTGTCAGAGCTGCAGATAAGGCGTCGGCAGCCTTCAAGTACCTTCGAGACTTCTTCCCTAAGCTATTTGAGGCAAAGGTCAAAGCCGGTGTCTTCATCGGACCACAGATAAAGAAGATCCTGTAGTGCAATGAATTCCCCTAGAAGCTCACTAGTAAGGAGAAAGCAGCTTGGAACAGCTTTGTCGCAGTGGTTCGTGGCTTCCTGGGCAATCACAAGGTCGAAAACTGTGTGGAGCTGGTTGAGACTTGTGAAGAACTACGGCACAATGGGCTGTAGGATTTCGCTCAAAGTCCATATCCTTGATGCTTATCTTGATAAATTCAAGGAGAACATGGAAGCGTACTCGGAGGAGCAGGGCGAGTGCTTCCACCAAGATATACTGGACTTTGAACGCCGCTACCAAGGACAGTATAACGAAAACATGATGGGGGACTACTTTTGGGAGCTGATCCGTGAAAGTAATTTACATTATAATCGTAAATCTCGATAAAATACTCACTTCTAAATATTTTGTAGTCATTTTTGTATTACTTTAGTATAAATACATGTTAATTTTGATAAATATGTTGCTTTTGTCTGGCATAATGTGAACGAAAAAACACATTTGCCCGTTTTCTCATTGAAAATAGTTAAATTAAAAAAGGTCACTGTCCTGGTCACAAAAGCAAAGTTTATGGGGAATAATAGTAATTTTCTATATTTTTTTAGGCATTAGAAATTACGAAATAACACTTACTACCCAGGGACAAAAATTGTGTTACATAGTGTAATTAGGACGTTTTGTTGACGTCAGTGGACGGCCGAGTAAGTGGGTGAATGGCCGTGTGGGTGGGTGAATGGCCGGGTTGGTGGGTGAGGGAGTGGGTGAGTGGGTAAGTAGGTGGGTGAGTGAGTGAGTAAATGCAGGGATGGGTGAGAACCACTGCTGCGAGGATGAACCCGAGTCCGCGTGATGGGTTATGCTCCTTCACGAGATCGGCAGCGAAGTATTGTGGTTCATCTGTGGCATGCATTTTGCGTGTAATGAGGACGACCTCGTAATGCATCCGTTCGGGAACTGAAAGCCAATGCAGCTCAGTGTACACTGGGCAGACACGGTCGGATCTTGCAGTACCCGTCACACTACGTACCCGGCGATCCGAGTTCTATTCCGCTCATGGCCAACATCAGTGTCGATTGTCTGAACAGGTCCCGGCCCTCTCTTATGTCGACTCAACCTCAAATAAGTACTTGGCGTGGTGTGTAAACATTGCGACTCGGGATACAAAGGCGGCCGGGCATCGTATTGACCTTCCACACCCTTTGTGTGCTGTGCCGGCCTTCATAGGTGCTTGCTAATGTAGTGTTGTGGATTCTGGAGACGTCGGAGACGGATCTTGGAGGCAACACTATTTATAAATATAATACTTGGCAGTACAATCCCGGCACACTCAGGGCAACGGCCCTTCTATCACCACTGGCCTGGGAAGGTTCTGCCTCCGGGCTAACGTGTCCTAACACGGGAACTCGACTCTGGGTCCTCCGGCTATGGGTGCCTTGGGGAGGCTACTCTAACCCGACCTAGCCAGGCTCCAGGTTCCGACCACTGGCCCACTCGGACCCGGCCCTTACAAAGGCGTCGGGCCGGGGGTTATCAGGGTCTCACCACTGAGCCACACAGAGTCCCGGCCCTGACAAGGGCAGTGGGGCTCGGGGTCCCAGGGTACCATCTGGCCGGTCTTCTTGGTTCTGTCTTGAACTGGCCCCGGATCCTTCCAGGGGTCCGGCTTTTATACCCAGCACCGGTGCGTCAGCCCTGGCTCTGCCTACCCTCTAGAGAGTTCCAGAGGGGGCTCCGTGGGGTTCCCAGGACACCTCGCAGCCCCCTCCCACCGATAGGGGTCCCAGGGGATCCTAGGACACCCCGCAGCTCCCTCCCCCCGGGAGGGGCCGCGGGGGATCCCAGGACACCCCACAGCCCCCTCCTGCTCCGAGGCTAAGGATATTGCGACTGCCCCTGCTACACTGTGTCTGCCCCTACAGGTAAGTGTATACAGTCAGTTTACGTCGCTACACATAGCCCATTCACGCCCCTACACTAACATCACTTGCCCCAACAGTCTGTTAGAGGCTATACGTGGTATCTTCGTCTTTGCTATTGTCTGTCCATGGAAAAGGCTCGTGCCAGGCTAGGTGCACGTCGATGAGGCTATTGGGTAATTTGAGGCAGTCACCTTCCAACAGCAGCAGACAGCAGAGGAGCAACACTCTTAAGAGGCCGATAAAACGTAGCAAATTTGCCACAGTAGGGAGCACAGCTGGTGGCTAAACTATCATTCATCTCAGTCAACCCATGGCATCTGTGTCTATCCTGCGACCTCCTGTCAGCAGAGAGCCTTACATACTTCACGTAGCCTCGGAGTGCACTTGGCCTGGCACAAGCACCGTATGTATGTACTATGTTGAACTTCTTTCGAACCGTATGTAGCCAACCGCGCTAATCGGAGGTGCTGTGGAGATGTTACCGCCGCTTCGTGGTGAACGGCAACTGTTGGAAAATGTCCATCCCGTGTGTTTGTGCGATTAGCGCTGTACTCCGTTCACTATGAAACCGGCCACCCGAGTTCGATTCCCACTCAGAGCCAACACAAGTGAGGATTATCTGAACCGGTCTGGGGTCTCCCCTAGGTTGACTCAGCTTCAAATGAGTACTTGGTGAGGTGTTTTGGAAACATTGCCACTGGGGAGAGAAAGGCGGTCGGGCGTGCTGTTGGCCACCCACCCCCTCGTGTGCCACAGTGCCCATCTTCTTAGGTGCTGCTCGCTAGCAGCACTTGCTCCAGCAGTCTGTTTAGGCTATAAGGGGGATCTTTGTCTTTGGACAGGTCGTGTACACGAGCCTTCGCCGACCTCCTGGAGAAGACGTCACGGTGTACGCGACGACCGCGGTGGTCGGTGGGGGAGAGCGACCGTCCAGACTGTGAAGGGGAGTCGCGAGAACAAACAACAACAAAGTTGGACATTGCCTTAACCACCAAACTAAACTTTGTATTTTAC